TGTGCCCTAAGATCTCGTCAAGATTATGCACTCCATTAGAAGTCAAAAGCCAAGAGAAATAAGACACCACTATATCCTCTATCCCTCTTCGATCTTCATGCCAAACCCCATGATCATTCACCAAAATGTACAAATAGTTTCTTTATTGCCTTCGATTTGCCTTCTGATGAAAATATTTAGTATTCCGATCCCCAAGTTTAACCTAATTCTCATTTGACTGTTGTCTCCAAAATTGCTCTTCCTGTTCAAGTAATCGATTTAATCTGCCGATAAGTTACTTTTTTTGCTCAATAGACTCCTCCGTAAAAGGGTGGCCTAAGAAACATGTCAGCTTGTCCTTAACTTCCCTAAGCTCTCTTGGTCTTGACCTGGCATTACTACGAGCCCAGTTGGTTAACTGTATTCTTGTCTTTTTAATTTTCTTTGTGACCTGGTACATTGGTGAACCATTCATGACACATTCCCACATATTCTGTACCACTTCAGCACACCTTTCATGCATATTCCAAAACTCCTCATAATGAAACTGCTTTCTCCCCGGAACTACCTTGCGGCCAGACCAATTCAACATCACTGGTACATGATCAGACGTGGATTTCTTCAAATGATGCACACTGAACCGAGGAAACATGTCAACCCATTCCTGATTACCCAAAACACGATCTAGCATCACCTTTTTTCCACCTCCTTTGTCGTAAACCACGTAAATTTATTCCCAGATAAGCCAAGATCAATAAACCAACAACTCTTCACTGCATTACGAAACCTTTCCATCTGTCTATTTTGTCGAACATTACCCCCTTCCTGCTCATTAGCTTGGAGAACTTCATTGAAATCTCCTATACACAACCAAGGCTTGGAGTCACTACGGTAAATAGACTATAATAAATGCTAAGATTTATATCTATTAGCCGTAGCCAAAAAACCATAGAAAACTATGAAACGCCAATAATCTAAATTGCCTGGCACACCCACATCAAAATCAACGTGGTTATGAGAATAAGACTATAAACATAAATTTATTTCCTCTTTCCATAAAACGTACAAACCTCCATAGCTACCTCTACTATCAACTGTAAAACTACGATCATATTTCAACTTTAAACGTAAATGGTCCATGTGACGAGAATTACTTTTGGTTTCGCAAAAAAACACTACAGTGGGATCTTGACTAGAAATTAAGCATTGAAGCGCATGAACTGCACGAGGGTGCCCAAGCCCCCTGCAGTTCTAACTTAAACAACTCATTGCTGACGGCAGGATTAAGCTCCGTTAACCTCTGTCAATAAACTGAACAAGTCCAAACTGGGCACCACTTTCCTTCGAATAGTTATCCTTGACACCATATCGTCCTCCTCTCATACCAATCTTTTACCAAGTTCAGGCAACATTGGATCACCACTCTTATGGACACTGGTCTGCACGCTACTGGATTTCACTCCCCCCTCACTAGCTCGATACTTCCTACGATGTTTCTTCATCCATCCCTTCTAAAGATGCTCAATAATTGGCATTAAGTTAAATGGGTCTGAGCCCAATCCTGACACCTCCCATTGCGAAGAGCCCGAGCCCACTCCATTCTATATTGTTCCCTCCACTATGCACCTGCTGGCCTATACCAACCTCCTGTCCACCTGGAAGCCCATTAAATTCTTCCTCGTGCGCATTAATTATCCCCTCCCTCATTAAATTAGAGGATGGAACTGGAGAAATCTCCCTACTCACAGCTGGTAGGTCATTCAAATTGACTCCAAATAACGTCAAACCACATCCTTCATGATTTGTAGGAGTTAACTAGAAATGAATAATAGCCAAATCGTCAATCATCACCTCTTCAGAAGTAACGACAATATTCAAATCTGGCAGAATAATGGTGTCATTAATGCTATTATCCTTTTACACCTTTCTCCGCCGTTCATCGTCTGGCCGTGCCTCTATAGCCACCGGTGCACCTTCCTTCACTGAGTCATCCACATCATTTTCATTACTAATCAAGCTCTCGACTTCCTCGACATGCACATGGGCTTTCATAGACCACATATGCGATGACTCCAACCCAAAACGCTTACCTTGGGGGCGACAATAATCATCTCCCAAAATATCATTTTGGAACCAATGGCCATACGATTTTGAGAAATCATCGTCATTCTTCTTTCTTTTAAACTGGACACACTGCTCCTCCATATGACCAATAATCCCACATAAGAAACAGGTTATTGGCAATTTCTCATACCGCAAATCGACCTGAACCTCCGTTCCCTGAATGGAGAGCAACATACTTCGACACAACAGTGCAATCTCTAATACGTAAAATACTACCAAAGAGTTCCCTTTTCATACTCTGATCGGTTAAGACATGATCTCCAATCTGATTCCCGATAAACTATCCCATATGGCGAGTTACATACGAAAGAGGTAGTCCCTTGACTTGTACCCTAAACTCCTGAGACACCAGCGGAATACTTGGTAGATGTGTTGGTTGTCTGTCGCCTCCAACACTAGCAAGGCACCGTCATATAGCCACGATCCTCCATTCAGCACCATCGCAATTTCCCGTCGACTATCAAATCCAAAAGAGAATAACCCATCGTCTAACTCGACTATCATAGCTCTTGTCTCAGGGCTTCAGAGATTCAACATTTGAAGTTTGAACCGTTCTTTGTTGAAGGCCTTTCGTGTAAGCACCCGCCCCACTAGGAAGACCATGTTGGCCTTGAGAATAGCACTCTCATGATCACCTATCACCACCACCCTCTGTTCCTCAGTAATGAGGGCCAACCCATCTGCAAACTTAATCATCATATCCTCCAACACCCTAGTCACCACTTGCAAACTGCTTCGCCATAAACCACAGACAAAGCCCCCAAGAACCTTACTGCTCAAGAGAAAATCCACCCTTGGTGTGCACAAAATGCCTTATTTACTGCCAATCGACCCAACGAATGCTTAAATCACCGGAAAAGATGACGACTGATGCCGCAATACCTAACCCTAGCTCTCTCCTTGTGAAACCATAGAGAGCAATTTTTCTTTTTGTTGTTTTTAAGTATTCTTTCAGTACTAACATTTAGGTACATTAATTGAATATATTACATTTCAGTACAAACATTTCGGGACATACATTTCAGTACTAACATTTAGGTACATTAATTGAGTCTTTCAAGTTGGAAGAATGTTAAACAAAATTAATAAATTAAAAAAACTTTTTTTTGGTCGAAATATAAATTTAAACGTGTATATTAATAAATTTAAATTTTAATGGGAGATGTTGAATAAAATACACATTAATTAATCTAAATTAAGGACACATCAAGGGACTATAATCAATATGTAATTTAACACCAAGTTTTTATTAAATTTCAATCTTCTTCAAGGATTAAAGTTTAAAAAAAACCCCTTATTTATATTACCATTTGTTAATTACCAAGAATTTTCATGCCACTTAAGGTATGACTGAACTTGGGATGGAGGCACAACAAGATAGGCACGTTAAAAATGGCGTCCATGTACCACCTCAACAACAATACAAATAATAAAATCGAACCGGAGAGAAGAGCATGCCTTAGCTTATGGGTAAAATAAAGAAAGAAGTGTGCTATACTGCATGGTACACACCCCATTTTAGAAAGAAAAAAAATTCAGTGTGTTAGGAATACGATCTGGTACACTAAGTGTCATAGTAAAAGTGATTGTAAGTATCAAACCACTTGTATTATGACACTTAGTGTACTGGGTCGTATTACCATCACATTAAAAATTCTCTCCTCTTTTTCACAACATTCTTGCAAGGAAATGTTGTGTGTTATCATTGTTCTAAAAATTTCCTGGCGCCTAGGCTACCCCTAGACCCTTGCCGACCTCACATATTGGGTCTACCTCATATACAAAGTCAACACCAATACATATTGCATCTACATCACATCAGCAAAGCATCAGAAGATTGAAGTCGTGCAAGCTAGGGTAAAGACATAACCATTTGGGGATGTGCCTTTTGCGAGTTTGATAAGTAACCAGCGTCATCATAACAAACAAGGCAAACATCTTTTTAAGGATCAGGGGAGTTGGATCGGCTCAGGATGCGTTGGGATTAGCCCAAATCCACAGTACCTTCAGGGTAGCAGAAAAGCGTCTTTAATACCAATTCAGTGGTTGCGTATAGGTGTAGTTCTGCATATTTACCAATAGGTCAACAACGAAGGAGATGTCCTGTCTAATGCAATGAGTTAAGTACAACCACTGTTCTAAAAATCCCTGCCTAAGCGCTAGGCGGTTAGCCACCGTCCCGATTAATCTTTAGGCGTTTGAAAATTAAGAAAGTGCATCTAGACCGGCTTAGGCATTCGCCTAGCCCACCTAGGCGCCCGCCTAGGTCACGACTCTGCCTTAGAGATAAAATCAATAACTTTCATTTTGCATTTTAATTTTTCAATAAAATGTAAGAGACTTGCTGAATACTTGGATGAAAACTCATTATATGCTTATTCTCCATATTTTCAATATGTTCTAATACTTTATAATTTATATGTCATTTTAGTTTGCAATTTATATATCCTCATATAATTATGTGTGTGTTCTTAAGTATAAATAAACACTTATTTAATCAATATATAATAAATTTACTTAAATCGCTTAGTCCTCCTAGGCCTACGTAGCCGCCTAGACGTCAGGCTCCAACCCGCTGCCCGACTAATGCTTAGCGTCTTTTAAAACCTTGTGTTATATTTACTTTTACATGCTCTTTTAGTGAGACATGTCGATTGGCTTTAAAAGCCAAGGAACAAAGCCATGCGTTTTGGACACCTCCACTAAAGTCAGTAATACTTTTCTCTAACTTTAATTAGTTTATTTAATTTAATAAAATTATTTAAAAACCCCAATATTAGCACTGACACGCTTAAATATGCGTTTTATATCATTGCAGGAGATTTCTATTTAAATGGTTTCTATCCATTTATCATCTAGCTAGGAATTATATACACACCATCCCTTTTTTTTTTTTTTTTTTTCATTTTAATTTTCTTTAATGATGACTATGTGACCATGTCTTGTTGCTTTTGTCCCTCCATTTCTTAATTCAAAGGAATTCAATTGAGTTGGTTCAGAAATAACTGCCTGCGCATGCATGAAGCTTTAGAGATTGCATGGATGTCGGCTACTTTTTTAGGTTTGCATGTTATTGCCACTTTACAAGGCTGAAATTTGACTGAGGGGTTATAATTTGAGTGGGAGCTAGCTACTCCTCCTGTAAATTGCTTCCTAAGAAATAGTATTTGTTGATGATGGATCTCCAAGGAGACCAGTCATAGCTTTCAAAGGTATTGAAGTCCCAGAAAGTGTGAAACCAATCTGCAGACAAGTGGGGTTTTTGAGTGAGCGTCATCAAGAAAAACAAATGTATCTTTAGAGGAGAAAATGAGCATTATCTTTATTGAAAGTCAGGTAGAGTACTTCTATTATTCATTAATCTTGAGGTTTATGAGTAGAAATGTTGAAGAAAGCATAACAATAATATATACTAAATTACTAATTAACCTTTTGTTCACTGTTTTTTTTTTTTCTTCTTATAATTTATCTTTCTTGTTTGTTTGATGGAAAGTGCCATGTGGTGAGCTCAGATGGGAGCACATGGTTTCCTCTCATTTCCAAGCTCTCAGACTGTGTAAACCAATACAGGGAAAAAACTATGGGGGTTTTGGGTTTTTCAAGAGAATCAGTTGCAGAGATAAACGCACTTGATTGGTGTGGTGGGTGTTAGAAAACACAGAAACCCAGTTTTTTAGGTTTAATTGGGGACTGTTGGGAACTGTGTATTGAGTCTGTGATGAGAGAACCCTTTAGTACAACTCCTCCATTTTATTTAATAATAAATACCTAATATATTTGTTCTTCTCCTTACCTGCTTGCTTCCTCATTGCAAACTAGTTGAATTAATTTAGCTGCTGCTTCCTCTTTCCTCAAATCTCAAAGCACAGCTTACAGCTTAATTAGTTTCATATATACTTCCTCCTTCCTGTTCATGCTTTTTCAGACAACTATTTATCTGCAGTTTCTTCTTCAAATCCCCCATTCAGAACTTTCCTTTTTAGGTTTTTGTTAAAAATATTAGAGGACAGCTCAAAATTTTGAGCCTTTCATTTTTTTTCCTGTTTGATCATTTTTTTTTTAATTACGAAAGAGGATTTCGAACTCTAGATCAATAGCCTATTAATTTAACCTAGGATTCTACCCACTTTTACCATTGGGCTACTCCTGTGGCTCTTTCATTTTGATTTTCACCTACTATTTTCTTGCTTATTCTGGAGTTGAAAGCAGCAGGCTACCAGCTTTCTGCAATAAATATTTTTGTTTCCAGAATTTACCCTTTAGTATTCTTCTCTACCAACTTATATTTACTATACAATTTTCAAATCCAACGAAAAGGAAAGTTTTCTCTCCACTTACCCTAATTTTTCCTTCCAATAATTACTTACTCAGGCTTGAGTAATTCGTGGAGTTGAAAAAACTACTTGAAGATCAAATGGCTACTCCTTTGTGGTTCTTCAGATTCCCACCACCTTTGTTGCTTGTTCTTGCTTCATTCCTTGTATTGATTGGATTCATGGGGTTTGGATTCCTCTCCATCTTCCTAACATCTATGGTACTGATTTTCTCGACTGTTTTCTTCCCATTTTCTAAGCAAAAACCTCTTCATCTGGTTGAGAATAAGTTAATTGAAGAAAAACTGTTCATTCCTTGCTTGGAAGATGCAAAATATCAAAGTGCTACCCCACAAGAGAAGGATGCTGAAGAAGCACCACTGAGCTCAACGGATTTGATATCAGAAAGTGAATGCCTTGATCACTTATCAACCAGTGATGATTCTGAATTAGTTGACTGGTCGTTTGGAGACAGTGTGGCTCGGAGCCCAGATTTCTCAGACGGCTCCATTTCCGACGAGGATAGCCTCATCGAAATAGCCCTCCCGGGTGGATACTATGTCGGTCACAAGGAGCATGACTCATTGTTTAACCTGCAGCAGAAAATGCCAGGTTTGTCGCCCCAGTCCATTTTTAAGCAGCATACTATATTGGAGCTTTTGGCTGAGATCAATGAGATGAATGAGGAAGAAAATTTGTTCGAAATCGACTTATCCGTGGGATCCATCAAGTGTTCAAGGTTTGAGATTGAAGCTTGAGAGTTACCTTCTTTTATTCAATTTTATGACCATTTTTATGTTTTTGATCCGCCATGGATTTGGTTGAAGATAAAGTTTACAACTTTACGTTACAACTTTACATTTCGCTTATGTGCAATTGGCTACTTTGTGTTATAATGTTGTGCACGGTAAGCTGCTTCTGCTTTTTGACAAGCTTTGGATTCCCACCAAAGCACTTGTACTATGGCCCTTTTCATTTCTCCTAATGCACACTAATTAAAGTACTAAAAGTTTAATTGAAGGTCAAAAAAAATTTATTTTGTTGGAATTCCACTTGCTTTTCCTTTTCTTCTCAACTTCTTTTTGCTGTCGATATGGCATCACTGGTCACCATTTTAGATCTCCCTTTATTCCTTTTATGGATTCTGGAGGACAATTCAGGGTGAAGGTTAATAAACCTTTTGTTAAATCAATATAAGTTAACTAGACATTGAGTTGACTATTAGCATCTATGCAATTACTGCATTAATAATTATCAATTATAAACTGAATCTGATCTTCAGACTGTATTACAAACTGGATCAGATCTTCAGACTAAGTATACTATATTAATATAGTGAACACAAGTAAACTTGACAAGGTCAATTTCTTAGTTGCCACAAGCTGAAGTTGTTATACGAGAGGTACTGTAATGGGAGAGCTTTTACATATATTTATACGTAGTTGGACTACTTCTAATATTGCTAATTAATGTTACGATGGAACATCAACTTCTTCAGATACTTATGTGTACGAGATGTATATTTCTTTCTATCTATTTCTCTTCCTAGTTCACATATCCAAGTATATACCTCTTTGCACCCTGCTTTTAGAAGGTATTCATCGATTCCCAACCCCGCCCCCTCCTTTCCCCCTCTCCCTGAAACTTATAAGGAGCTGTCAATCTCCCTAAACTTTAATTTTAGCTGATTGCCCCCTAAACTTTTATAATTGCCCAATTTCTCATACGAACTTTAATTTTAGTCGATTACCACAAAAAAATAAATAATTAGCCAGTTTCTAGTAATGAGAGATGAGTAATTACTTTTCTTATTGAATTTAGGTCTTGAATTGAAATATCTCAGACGGTCATGAGAATCTAATCACAAAGAAGGCTAATGAAATGGCATCACAACCCAACCTTTAGCTGAAAAAGCAACACCATGAAGAAGATTCATAGTTGTCCACATTAGGGATAAAATTCAAACAAAAAGTGTAAAGAGTGAACTTGCGGAAGAAGAAAAGGAAAAAAAAAAAAATATGTTGTCCATGTTAGGAATAAAATTACCTTTTTGCTCTCAGACAATTGTCATGTGTCATACATGTGACCAAGAGGGATGAAAAATTCCAAAATCCAATGCCAGGGGTGAATTGGTCAATTATAAATTAAAGTTCAGGGGATAACCGGCTAAAATTAAAGTTATAGGGAAAAATTGGTCAATCATACAAGTTCAGGAAGGGAAATTGGCTAAATTAAAGTGCAGGGGAAAAATTGGCTAAAATTAAAGTCCAAGTGAATTTAAATGAAATTTAAAAAATTCAATAAACATTAGTAAGAAATGTATAATACTTTTAAACTTAATATAAAAAATGTACCACATAGCTGGGCTCCAAAAAATGACAGCAGAGTCACACCTAATTATCTTCCCGGTCCTTAAACTCTTTCGGTCAACCCTCCTTAAGAGCGACCTGCAGATCATCAAGTCATTTTTCCACTGCTTGTACCGTTTAGTAAAGATCCTGTTGACGTACGCCAACATATAGTTGTTGATGTCGTCGAAATTGTAGTTCATCTGCAATGTAACAAATTAATTACATACATTAAGTAATATAAATATATAAAATTTGAAGGAAAAACAATTAAAGGGTAGGATACTTACCGACAACTGTATCCTCACCTTGTCCGACATCTCCTTCCAAGACTTTCCTTGCATAGGGCAATAGGTTCAAACGATATGACCAGTGTTGTGGGCCAATCCACCATGCTGCTCCGCTGGTGCAGCCCATTGTTGGTCGTCGTATCCGATCATGATACATCCGTTGGTCACCCGGGTGACCTTCGCCGTCTTCAACTAACAACAAGGTCCTTGGGTATTTTTCTTTGCTGAAAAAAAATAAAAAAACATTCAAACAAACACAACAAAAAAAACCGAAATTCCGGCATAACCTCCCCTAAAATTATAACAATTCCCAAACCCTGGACATTGTAATGAATAATATATGATATCCAACAACAATCACAACAATTGAATGCTTTAGTAGTGGATGCCAAGTGAAATATTACATAGTGTTTATCTAGTTTCAAACCTATCCAGAATCAAAAGTCAACTAAAATTTTCAATCGGATGAGGAACATTTAACATCCACATTCTATTTAGCAACTTAGTTTTTAAGTTATTTGTTGCTACATTATTTTGAATTCAATTCACATGTCTGATAGTAAATCAACCATTGGCATTCATGCTCAAACAAATAGAATCATTTATATCAAACACTGGTAACAAAATACGGCACATTTGATTAGTAATATAAATATTGACAAAATTTAGCATAAGAGATTTATTCGAGCAATTATTGCATTTATCACATGTTTACCTGGTTGGGACCCCGAGGCATCAGTAGTGGATGCCGATGTCGTGTCGGGCGTGCGGGGGTGGCGATGACCATGCCTGGCGCTAACAGGAAGTGCAACTGAAGAGGCTAATGACGCCAGAGCCTGGGAGGGCTGGGGAGCAACTGCATCAGTCGCATCAACCGGTCTGGGATCCATATCTGCTAGAGCAATGAAATAGAAGGCGGGGGAATTAGATAGAGTGCAGTTGTCACCGACTTTTGACTTCTAATAAGTTGTGACATTTGCAAAATTAGGAAAAAAAATTAGTGCCTATTCATTGAAGTCAACGTGCCAAATCCAGTGCTTATTCTCTATATTACATTTACATATAAATTGCAAACCATACTTGGCAGCATAAACATAATTCTCATATTACTTGACCCTGACAAAGCTGGTACTCCTTAACTCATAACAAAACACAGGTGTAAAACATGAACACCTACAATCATTTTCCAAGTATTTGAAATTCAAGAAAAATAAAACAAAGCACATTTATAATCAAAACAGTACTCAAATTTGACAGCAGATGATCACCCTTGAGTTGAATTGTGATGAAATTCTAGTACACAAGACATATTATAAGGTAAATAGAAAATTGGCATCCATTGTTTCCTAGTTGATACATGTTGAAGGATATAATTGATGGAACAAGGTACAATAATTGGTGATTTTTTGTGAAGGAAAAAAACTATACAAAGCAGAATCAGTACACCCAAAACCAGCAAGCAAAGCAAAATAATGCCATGTGCCAACACAGAAACTACAACAAAACAAGGACATAATACAAAAAATTTCCAGGCATATCAAAACAAAAGAATGCAGCTTCAAAACCCACCTAAAAAAGACGGCATAAATCCTTTATCCCCAATCTGACCAAATGCAAACTTAACACAGGGATTCTCAAATACAAATTCAACAAACCAACTTTATGAAGATAAAAACTTATGTTGTTAAAATATCAATTACGTTGTTAACTGAGGCAAAGTTGAACCACTGATCCATGTTTTGCGCATTGGAAATCATGAACCCTAAAACAGTCTTGGGTGTTTTAATAACTGTAAACATGACAAGTTCAAGAATCTCAACTGTGGATGCAAATTTCTTCCTCCTTGACCTTGGACAAAATTGCACCTAAAAAACAATTAACACCTTAGGTCAAGGCCAAGAGCCTCACGCGCCCACGATGAATGGGGGGGCTTTGGCCGAAGAACCTTCGATGCCAAAGTTAGAATTTAGGAGAAAAAGTGTTTGAGAATTCTAGAGAATTTTAGCAAGAGTTGGAAGTAGTTTTTGGGAGAGAATGGTGAGCTATATATAGGGATATGGCTGGCCCTATTAGGAGAATAGGGATCGGCCATTTAGGTATTTTTTGGGTGTAAATTGTGGTTAATTAGCCATTAATAGATTAATTAGGTAATATATCTATTAATTGACTAATTAACATATTTTGAAAGAAATTATTTGGGGAGTTATGGAATGATTAAGATAATTAGCTAATTGATTAGCTAAAAAAGGGAAAATGAGGTAAATAAATATATGGAATGAAATAGGTTTTGGGAGTTACCTTGTAGAAGGGATTTGATGAGATAGGTTTTGAATTGTTACCTATTTTGGGCACTTTTGACTTGGTTGAGGGATGATTACTCACTGATCGCGCGTAGGAATCCCGTTATGCCTCAAGGGTATTTTTGTCCTCTCTTGTCCAAAAATCCACGTGTCGCCTTATGATTATTTTTGGCTCCACAAATGCCCCCACACTTGTTGGGCTGCTTGTAGGAAAGGGTAACAGGTGTAGAGATCTTCTTGCTTTAGGAAACGTAGGATTGCTTCCTATTTAAGTCCACCTTAAGTGAGTTATTAAATCAACTTTGGAGAGCGATTTATTCTACCCTACAGGAGAGAGATAGCTTAGAGGATATTTGTTCCCTATCCTCTAGCAATCTTTTACATCTTGCCCGTGTAAATGACCGTCTTTCTTTGATTTCTTCGTCTTCTCTGTGTCGCACCAATGTAAAAAATTTATTTTTTCTTGTTTTCTTCTTAGATAGTGTTATCGCGGGGCAGCTGTCGGGGTGGTGCGGCATGTCGGTTGGCAGGGGCTAGGAGTCGACTCAGCATAAGTTGAGGAGGTGTTATGGCAGACACCACTGCTTTAGGCTAATCAACTTAGCTAGAGTCACAGACAGCTTGTGCAGCTGGGGCCGCGGATTGAAGCACTGGGATGTAGTGCTACACAGGTTGCATGGCTCATGTCTTTTGGGCTTTTGGTCCTGACATAGGCTAGGCCGGTGATTGAAAGAAAGGAGAAGGTCGCGGGCCTCATAAGCTGCTGGAATGCTAGGTTGAGCTCCTCTGCTGAGTACCGTGAATGGCGTTGGCTGCTTAGTTTTCTTCGCCTGGAGAAAAATGGACTGCTCCCGAAAGATGAGGTAAAGATGATCAAGGCAGATGCATTGGCTCGTCTGATTGTTGTCGTGGAGCCTACTATGAATGAAGGTGAAAAGAAGAGATCTTCCCCGCCTGCTTAAGAGATGTCGATTGAGAAAAACTGAAGACTTCCTCAGCTGCTTATGAGGGTCTGCCTGCTGTTGAAATGCTTGTGATTGACATTACTTTTTCCAATAGGAAGAAAAAATATGGCTGTTAGATATGAGCCTGTG